CAAAAAAACTACTTAAGTACTGTAAAAAAGTAAATGTACTTAGTTACTATAAACCTCTGCTTTGCTGTCATGTTTAATTTAGTTGTTACTGGATTTAAGATGAAGTCAAACCTTTAGTGTATCAGGGTTAACCGCTGCCCCCCGCTGCCCCCTGCTGTCACTGAGGACGGGTCAGTTTGGTTGTTTGGACTCTAAAGGGTTTCAGTTGTGAATTAAAAGCAGAATAAATCAAGGTTTGTTGATGGACGAGGCAGCAGAGCTGCAAATCAAACCTCCAGCTGTTTGCAGCTGGGCTCAGCCTCCCTGCAGTCCTCTGACAAACACGGCTCATCCTCCACTTTCTGGTCCTCACCAGACCCCCGAGGAGTTCATTCAAGTCTTTCAAAAGGTACGAGGGGGGAGTTAAACCTCAGTAAACATGTTTAACATCCACTTTTATTCAACACTTCAAAATGGTTTTTATTTCAACTTCAAAAAGACAGACATCAGGTGATAAATATGTAATTTTACCTGATGATGATGATGATGATGATGAAGGGCGACCAGCAGCTTCTCTGCTTACAAATATTTTGTTTAAAAAAAACACTTTTTGTATTTTTGCCAGTGAGTTCTTTAAGATGTTGCACAATGGACTTTTAAAGTTCCTTCTCAGGACATTCTGTCCCCGACAGCTGAGGACATGTCTCACCGGGGGACGGAAACATCTGCCGGGTTTTTCACAAAGCCTGGGAGAAACCGGGTCTCTGCAGAACCCAGAGAGCAGCTGCTGAGTCCGTCACCCAGCTGCTCTTAAATTAATTTAGCTTTTATCTGACTGCAGAGTCTGGGCTCTGGTTCTACCTGCACCTGGTTCTGTCTGGGTTCTGGTTCTACCTGCACCTGGTTCTGTCTGGGCTCTGGTTCTACCTGCACCTGGTTCTGTCTGGGTTCTGGTTCTACCTGCACCTGGTTCTGTCTGGGCTCTGGTTCTACCTGCATCTGGTTCTGTCTGGGCTCTGGTTCTACCTGCACCTGGTTCTGTCTGGGTTCTGGTTCTACCTGCACCTGGTTCTGTCTGGGTTCTGGTTCTACCTGCAT